AATCAAGTGAGACTAAGCAAGATCATTTTTTTTGCCTAATAACGGGGCTAAACGCATAGCTATGGCTATGTATCGAAGCGCAGATAAAGTCTAGAATAATTTTTGAAATGAGAAAAAAAATGAAACTTCATTCCAGACTTCCCCTAAAGAGCTCAACCATCAAGGACGCACTTGGGATCTGGATGCCATCCTCACAGAAATCGACAACGCAAGAGAATCGTTGGATATTCATGTCATGGATTATTTTCCGCTTATCGTATACACTCGTCCAAAAAAGTGAAGAAATCTGGAATGCAAATGTGCCATAGAACATAAAATTCTGATTTCAGGTATTTTCCGACCATTGATGATGCCATTCGACGGGCTGTTCTTCGCGGTGTCCAAGTGCGAATTTTGTCTGCAGCACTTCACTATCCAGAACTGGGTGTACGCTTCCTTCGATCACTGGCCGCTTTGAACAATGTGGACGAAAACGCCACAATTGAAGTGGTAAGAATAATCTGCTTTTTCGCGTGCCGAAGGTGTGCCAGCGGCAGGTTAGCGTCGTTCTAGGGTCGTGCCAGAACCCATGTGCACGCTCCCTTTATAACTGATTTTTTGGCGCGCGCTGTACGGCACAGGCATGGCTCTGGTACGAGCAACTCTGGACTCGACTTCTCACACTGAACTTTTGATTTCAGAAAATTTTCAAAGTACCAAGTGATGACCTCGACAATATTGTCATCAGCAGAGAACGGCGGACACACAATAAGTTTATGGTATCCGAATCAGCCGTAATTATCGGTAAGTTAGTAACTTGAACAAAGAGTCCAGAACAAACATGTCAATTAGGATACTGCAATCTTCAAAAAAGTAACACTTAGAAAACAAAGCAACAAAAACGAGACAGAGATTGTTTTGAAAAGGCCATCATTTGTGTTATTATAATGCACTCATTTTTCATGCATTTCTTCTTATAATTAGTAAATAAATAAGATCTGAATTTCTTAGTGTTTGCATTTGAGGTGTAATCAGTCTTTGTTACAAAAAAGCTAGATAATAATTGGTTCGCTAGACTAGATGAATTTGCATCGTTTGAATCCTTAACTTTGACGGGACGTAAAAAGTAGGACGATAGGAATAAAAAGTCTCTTGGTACTACTGATCTTCGCTGAGTTAACCTTACCACTTTTTTTTCGAAAGAATAAGAGAACGAAAATGGTTCAATAATCCTGTAATGCCTGCGTTTGATAATTCACTCCTAAAGTAATCCTAAGAAAAAAAAATAGGTGCTTTCAATGATTATAGTGCTTGCACAACAAGGTTCTTTTCCCAGTTTTTTCAAAAATTGTAGTCAAGCTGTTGCACTTTGATGTAATTTTTATGAAATGCTTGTTAACTTTTAAATTTTTCGAGCCAATTTTTTAGCGAAAATCCCAAAAGCAAACAATATTAACATGAAAAGGATCTTATATCAGAAATTAATAAACCAAAATTTTATTATTTTGAATGTAAAGTTGATTTGTTTGTCTCAGAATTGCTTCAAATTCACCAAAAAAGCCTAAATCACGCTGATTTTCTTGAGCCGTCTCGAGAAACAGTACTTTTTCCGCACCCTATGCATAAAAACGTCAACATTTTGTAACAGTAAACCTCTCTCGAGTAGCAACATTATCAAGGAATGTAGCAATGATTTTATTCTTTTAAAGGAACATCCAATTGGTCTGGTGACTACTTTGTAGGAGGAACGACCGGTGCTGCCATAATTATCAAGCAAAAGAAAGGCAAAAGAGCTTTAGTCAAAGAAATGCGGGTGAGTTCAATAAGTCGACTTTTCAAATAAGAAAATTCTAAAAGTAATTCAGATAGGAGATACCTTAACTTCTACATTTTCTTTCAGACAATTTTTGATAGAGACTGGAATAGCGAATACGCTCATTCATTAGAGGATTACTTTGTTGGCTGCATTGAACGAGGGGTGCAGGCTGATTTTTGCGAAGGTGAAAAGGATCCCAGTTTATTCGAATCGACTGTTGCACCTCGGATATCGTAATATATCTGGTTGTCTAGTGCCTTGGTTCCACTAACAATTACATTTAGAACTGAATTACGGTCGTTCAGCTAAGTAATTCGCATTTTCTTCTCAGGTGTGTCAAAGTAGATTTCCGGCTGACTGGTTCTATTCCCGGATTTTCTGTACATTCTGTGCTTTTATTGTATTTGATCTAATTCTTTTATCATATACTGCTCAGTTCTTACTTTTTCCAAACTCTCATCGCTTTGCCTTTAATTTAATTGTATTCTCTCATTCGATTTTGAGCATTTCTCCGCTCAATTTCGTTACATGATTGATATGAAATAATTTTTGTTTTGAAAGTGATCATACCTCGTATTCTGTATCCTAAGTGCCTTTCAAGTTTATATGATAATGTTTATTGCTCACTGCTTGTTCACTTGCTACAATTTCTTCAAAGTGCATTGCTCACATAAGTTTTTCTTCCTGGGTCAAAGACGAGGTTACCTCTCACTGTGTTAGTTTTTATCTTAATTTTTTTCTCGCATATAAACATGATTTATTGTTCTAAATGTTTTTTTCATTCTGATATAATATAGATAAAATATTAGTGATGTATAAAATAAGGTTTATTATAGATACAGAATCGAAGACATCTACACGATAGACCGACCAACTACCACCAATGCAACAGTGAGAATAACTGAGTTTTTGTGCGAGTTTGTTCGATAGGGCATTCAATGAAGATCACTTCCATACATAAAAAACATGATAAAACAA